TGCTGCTGCTGCTGCTGCTGCTGCTGAGGGCCTTCCTGGGGGCTTCTTTTCAAGTCCATTTTGCTTCTTCTTTTCAAATTTTGTTTGCCGATTGGAGCTGCTGGAGGAAAGAGTGCGCCATTCGCTGCGGGGCAGCGGGCTGCCCGTGGCGCTGCAGCGCAGCAGCAGCAGCAGCAGCAGGAGAGCAGCACGGCGGCAGGACACGGCGGAGCTGGAGCTGCAGCATCTGGAGGAGGGCAACGGGCTGCCAGTGGCCACGCGGCTGGGCTTGACCGAAGCAGAAGCAGCAGCTGCAGCAGCAGCAGCAGCGGGGGAGGAGCAGCATCCCGCCGTGGATGACTTGTGTCTGTGGCAGGCCATTTGTGAGTGCTGCTTCCCCCAGGGGCCCCGCAGCAGCAGAATTCCAGCAGCAGCAAAAAGCGCTTTGAGCTGCATGGGCAGCTCTGGGAAGGGGGCAGCAGCAGGAGGCTCGGGAGCAGCAGCAGCAGCAGCGGCAGAGCCCTAGCCGAGGAGCTGCAGCAGAAGATCGGGCTGAACGGGAATGAACTGAGCTGCTGTAGCTGCAGCAGCAGCAGGTGAGAGCTGCTGCAGCTTGCTTTTCGTGCTGCTGCGCGCAGCATGGAAGCAGACGCATCTGCTGCTGCTGCTGCAGCGCTGCAGCAAATAGATATAAGCTGCTGCCACTCCCTCTGCGGGCAGCAAGCGGGGCCGCCCCCCAAAGCGCAGCAGCTGCTGCCTGAGCATTTGTTGGCTCATGAGCAGCAGCAGGAGAAGCAGCAAACTGCTCTTGCTGCAGCAGAGATCGTAGTAGGTAGTGGCGGCGTGGAGGGCAGTTGCTGCTGCTGCTGCTGCAGGACCAGCTGCTGGCGCTGCTGCCCCTGCAGCAGCAAACGTGTTAAATAGAGCACCAGCAGCAGCTTGAGCAGCTGCTGCCGCCGTAGGCTGCGGCAGCAGCTGGAGCTCGCGTTATGGGCTGCTGCTGGTGCTGCTGCGATTCCAGCTCAGCAGCAGCAGCAGCTGCTGCTGCTGCTGCTCTTTAACTGGGTTGCAGGGCACGTTTCTCTTCGAATTTGCCCTGTCTGTTTGTTTTGAACTGACTTATTGGCCGCTGCAGTGTTTGCGTCTTTTGCTGCTGCTGATGTCTCATTTAGTTCAGTTCAACTTCCCCTATGCTCGGGAGTCTGGTTACGTGCAGCAGCAGCAGCAGCAGCAACAGCGGCAGCAGGTTGGCTCTATAGGCAGCTTCCGCACCGAATTATAAGCCATGGTTGAGTTAGTCGTGTAGGGTGGAATGAGTAGGTGTGCAGCATCTGCAGCAGCAGCAGATAAGCAGCAACAGCCATAGCAGCAGCAGTAGCAGCCATAGCAGCAGCAACCGCAGCAGTAGCAGCAACAGCAGCCGCTGCTGCGAGGTGCCGCTGAGCTGCTGCAGCAGACGATGCCGCAGTAGCAGCAACAATGTGTGCTGCATCGCTGTAGCGGGAGCTGCTGCAGCTATGTCGGCTGCTGGACATGTTGCTGCTGCAGCTGCAGCGCCTGCTGCTGCTGCTGCTTCTGCAACTGCAGCGCTGTCCTTCTGCGTAGTTGTTTAATTAGCTCAAGCGAAGCAGTGCAAGGCAATCTGTAGCAGCAACGGCAGCAGCGACAGCAGCAGCACAGCAGCAGCAGCAGCACCGATGAGAGCGGCCGCCAGAAGACTAGGCAGCCCTGGAGAGAAATGCCGGTAGCTGTGGGGGAAGACAAGTGCCAGCAGCAGCAGCAGCAGCAGCAGGAGCAAGAGCAGCAACTTACCTGCAAGTTCTCGGGAGGCAGCAGCAGAAGGCGCCAGCTGCAGCAGCAGCAGCAGCCGCTGGGAAACAACAGACGCTGCGACACTGCAGCCTTTTGCTGCTGAGTCAGCTCCAAGCAGAAGGTCGGCTGCTGCTGCTGCTGCTGCTGCTGCTCTTGTTGCTGCTGCTGCTTGTGCAGCAAAAGGGCGCAGCCGGCGCGGCCCGCAGCACTTCCCCATATTTTTGCTGCCTAGCATGTGGGAGACCTTGAGGAGGTGAGCAACGTGCTGCTGTTGCGACGGGCTTAGCAGCAGCCGCGGCTGCTGCTGCTGCTGCAGTGCATGCAGCAGCTGGAGCACGCAGCTCTTTTTCTGCCGCTGCTGCAGTGCTGCAGAGATACCTTCAATGATGTGGGGCGGAGCTCCCCTTTCCAACTCTGCAGGCAGAGGCACAGACTGCAGCTGCAGATTGCATGCAGCAGCAGCAGCAGGAGCAGTAGCAGCAGCAAGAGCAACAGAGCAGCAGCAGCAATTAACGCTCACCCTTTACAAGTGCTGCTGCAGTTCTCGCTGTGTGAAGCTGCAGCATGTGCGGCAGCGCGGACTGTACAACTTGCTGCAGCCGCGCAACTGCTGCTGCTGCTTCCTGCTGCAGCAACAGCTGCTGCTGCTGCTGCGGCTGCTGCACAGGGAAAGGGGGGCAGCAGCAGCAAGACAAGGCGATGGCGCAGGAGAAGAGACGGGGAGCAGCAGCAGCCATCTCCCTGCTGCAGATATAATGCTCTATAAACTGCGAGAGTTCATCAGCAAATGGCAGCAGAATTGCTGCTGCTGCTGCTGCTGCTGCTGGCAGCTGCGCATACACCTCAACGGCCTCACACACAGCCTCCACTGCTGCTCGCTCTGCGTCGAAGAGAAGCAGCTCTGCTGGGGGCTCGTTTGGCTGCTGCTGCAGCAGATCCGCAGCAGCAGCAGCAGCAGCAGAACGCTCCTGCAGCAGCAGCGCCAACGGCCTCCCCGTCTTTAAACTTTCTGCTGTTGTCTTTTGTGTCACATCAAGCAATGCCTCCAGAATGAGGCGGCAGTGGTTCTCCAGCGTGTCTGCTGCTGCTGCTGCTGCTGCTGCTGCTGCTGCTGTGGGCGGGCGTGGCCACACGCGAAACTGAAGCACAGCAGCAGACATGGGGGACACAATGCTGAGCCACATGGGCACTGAAACGGGCTGCATGCTGCTGCTGCTGCTGTTGCTGCTGCTGCTGCTGCTAGGCTCGTCCAAGGAAAGCCGTCTCAGCAGGGCACTGCCGTATTCTAGAGGCAGCAGCAGCAGTTCCTGGGCAAATCCGCCCGCAGCTAGTTGCTGCTGCTGCTGCTGCTGCTGCTGCTGCTGTGCGTACTCCAAGACAACAGCCTGGTGAGCTGCAGCAGCAAAGCAGCGGAAGAGCCGCTGCTGCTGCACAGTGGGCTCTAGCTGAAGCTCTGCTCCAGCACATAGCTGCAGCAGCCTATCATCTGCCGGTGCTGCTGCTGCTGCTGCTGCTGCTGCCGAAGGACGCCCACAGCCTGGCGCCCTGCTGTGGCTCGCCACAGCAAACAGCATAGCGCAGACATGCGCAGCTGCGGCCCGCTGTTGCTGCTGCTGCTGCTGCTGCAGGGGCCAGCAGCCTGAAGCTACGGACGCTAGCAGAGTGCAGCAGCGGCCGCCTAAGCAAGAAAGAGCAGGATGGCTGCTGCAGCACCACAGCAGCAGCCGCTGCAGCAGCTGCCTCTCTCCTTCGGCGACAGCAGCAGCGACAGGCTCAGTCCGCGTGTCGGGCATCGTGCTGCTGCTGCTGCTGCTGCTGCTGCTGCTGCTGCTGCTGCTCTGAAGTGCTGCAGCAGCAGCAGCAGAAGCAAACCACAGTGCCACAGCTTCCAGTCGCAGCGACGTGAGCTCCCCCTGCCAGATTTGCTGTGGCGCTTGCTGCAGGTTCAGCTGCTGCCGCGGCTGCGCAGCAGCAGCAGCAGCAGCAGCAGCAGCAGCATAGGGGGAGGAGCTGCTTAAGGCGCAGGTGGCAAAGGGGAACTCGAGGCAGGTGTCTTCGATTGCACGCAACGCCTTTTGCTGCAGCAGCAGCTGGGAATGCCGCAGCAGCAGTTGCTGCAGCTTATGCTGCTGCCCGTTTTGCTGCTGTCCGTTTTGCTGCTGCTCATTTTGCAGCAGAGCAGCAGCGCGAGGCGCTGTCGGTGCAGCAGCAGCACCAGCAGCAGCAGCAGCTGCTGGTGCTTGTGCCGTGGCTGGTCTGAGGGCATCCTCTGCTGCTGCAATGACCAAATTCAAAAAGAGAGCGACGGCTGCTGCCTTGCTGCAGTCAGGAGCAGCAGCAGCAGCAGCAGCAACTAAGGCCTCGCGCAGCCTCAGCAAACCATCATATGGAGCAGCTCTTGCAGCTGCTGCGATGAATGCAGCAACACTTTTTGCTGCCTCCTTAACTTCAGCAGCAGCAAGAGGGTCGAGCAGCAAATGGAATGCCCGAGGAGAGAAACCGGGAAGTTGCTGCTGCTGCTGAAGCTTATGCTGCTGCTGCTGCTGACGCTGTTGCTGCTGCTGAGTGGCAAGCTCCTCAAGTGCCTCTGTGAGCCGAAACAAGTATGTAGAAATGTCGTATAACGGGCCGCAGGGCTGCTGCTGCTGCTGCTGCTGCAGCTGCTGCTGCCGCTGTAGCTGATGCTGCTGCTGCTGGTCGTTCAAGCATTGAAAGATAAAACAGCTGTCAGCTGCTTTGTTGTTGAGGAGCCGAAGCAGCAGTTGTGAAGTAAAGCGCGCCTGTGCGCATGCATGGTGCAGCAGCGACGCCTGCTGCTGCTGCTGCTGCTGCGGCCGCTGCTGTTGTTGCTGCTGCCCAGTGTGTCGCGTGGAGCTGCAGCAGACACAGCACAGAGTTGCTGCTGCCTCTGAGCATTGCTGCAGCAGCAGCCTGCATAGCTGCTGTTGAATGCTGCTGCTGCAAGTTGAGGGGAGGCGCCCATATCCCGGTGCCTGCTGCTGGAGCAACAGCTGCTGCTGCTGCCCAGGGACAGCAGCAGCAGCAGCAGCAAAACCTAAGGCAGGAAGAGCCCCCGAAACGCTTTCCGCTTCTGCTGCAGCCTCTGCGAGGCGCCACAGCGCCAGCGGGACACGGGATTGCTGCTGCAGCAGCACCAGCTGCTGCTGCTGCTGCTGCTGCTGCTGCTGCCCCGGGAAGCTGCCTGGCCCGCAAGAAGCAGCGGGAGCAGTAGCAGCAGCAAGGAGGCCTACACAAAGCCTTCCTGCTGCAGTAAGGCCTGCGGCTGCCTTCTGCTGCAGCTGCTGCAGCAGCCCCGTAGCCCTACCCGGAGCAGCATCAGCAGCAGCTGCTGCTGCCAACAGCAGGGGCAAGGGGCCCTGACGCTGCAGCGGGTGCGTCAGCAACTGCAGCAGCTGCTGCAGCCGCTGCTGCTGCTGCTGCTGCTGCTTTTCAAGTGAGACCGCTGCAGCAGGAATGGCTTGGCTCCAGAGGCTACAGGCTTTAGCCAGCAGCCGCGCACTAGGTGCAGCAGCAGCAGCAGCAGCAGCAGCAGGAATGACGAAGGTCTCAGCTGCAGCAAGCAGCTCCTGCTGCGATCTAGCAGCAGCAAGTGCTGATAGCAGGGGAGCTCCAATAAGCCAGGAAGTCAGAGCCATGTGCAGCAGCTGCAGCGACAGTTCTGCTGCTGCTGCTGCAGGCGCTGCTGCTGCTGCTGCCGCGGGCATTTGCTCAGCTTCTGCTGCTGCTGCTACTGCATCATCAGCAGCACAGCAAGTGCTGCAGCACATATATGCTGCTGCTGCTCTGAGGAATTCAAAATCGAGAGGGAACAGCAGCAGCTTTTCAAGGCCCTTCCACTCAGCTGCCCACAAAATGAGACCAGGGCAGCAGCAGCAGCTGCTGCTGCTGCTGCAGTTGCTACCGCTGCTGCTGCTGCTGCTGTTGCTGCTGCTGCCGCAGCTGCACGCAAAGATGCAGGTCTTCCAGTGCGCCTGTAGCAAGAGCTCTGCCGCTGCTGCAGACGGCAGCCTGGCAGCAGCAGCAGCAGCAGCGCCTGCTGCTGCTGCTGCTGCGTTACGCGCGGAGGCATGAAGCTGCAGCAGCAGCTGGACGCACAGACTTGCTGCTGCGTAGGCCTCAGCAAGACGCGGCAGCAGCAACGGGAAGCTCAGCAGCAGCTGCAGCAGCTGCAGCAGTTCAGGTGTAAGCCGCTGCTGCAGCAAAGCTGCATCAACCACCAGCCGCAAGGAGCTGCCAGTGCGGCAGCAGCAACAGCTGCTGCTGCTGCTGCTGCAGCAGCTCCTGCTGCAGCACAACTCAGACCGTAAAATCACTAGGGCGGAAGGCCCCTCTGCAGCAGCAGCAGCAGCAGCAGCAGCACGAGCAGCAGCAACGGGAGGCAGAGAGAAGGCAGCAAGCAAATGCTGCCGAAGCTCCACCGTGAATTCAGCGCATGCTGCTGCTGCTGCATTTGCACCTGGCGGACCTGCTGCTGCTGCTGCTGCTGACTCCAGCTTAGGCAAGTCTCGCTGCAGTGCTGCGCTGCAGGCCAAGCAGCAGCAAGCTGAACTCAGCAGCGGAGGACCCGGAAGCAGCTGGGGTCCTATTCGCCGCAGCACCTCTCTGCTGCTGCGGATGCTGCTGCTGCTGTTGCTGCTGCTGCTGCTAAGACTGCGCAGCTGCTCGGCTGCTTGCTGCAGCGCTGCAGCACTAAAGCTCCCCCTAGCTGCGACTAGAAGCGCCTCCGCAACTGCTTCCACCTGCCCTTCAGCAGCAGCAGCAGCAGCAGCAGGCGCAGCAGCAGCAGCAGCAGCAGGCATTGCCCACTGTGAGAGCCTCGCTGTCCCTCTGCTGTACGCGCCGCCTTGTGAAGGCCCAAGATTAAGATCTTCCATGGCCCTCTTGCTGCTGCTTTTGCTGCTGCTGCTGCTGCTGCTGCTGTGCGCACAGCTAAGGGGAGTTAGAGCCCCAGTAGCAGGAGGTTGGGCTGATCCTTGAAGAGAGAAGAGCAGCAGCAGCAGCAGCAGCAGCAGCTACTGCTGCTGCTGCTGCTGCTGCCTGGGGGGCGAGATGGTGTGGCTGCTGCTGCAGCCTCGGGAACGCAGCAGCTTTAACTAGATCATAATGACCAAATTAATATTTAAATTAATGAAGAAAAAGCGCCACACAGAGTTAGTGGATGAAGACAAGAATAGCAGGAGCAGCAACAGCAGCAGCAGCAGCAGCAGCAGCAGCTCGTGCTGCTCTGCCGGGGGGCCCTGCGGGGCCCCAGATATCGCCCGTGGCGGCTTCTTTGACTCTTCCAGAATTAAATTTTTCTAAATAACTTCAATTAATTAATTAGTTTAATAATTAATTTCTAATTTCTGCTGCTGCTGCTGCTGCTGCTGCTGCGAAGACAGCAGCAGCACACTCACTAGCAGCCAGAGGGGTGGGGTTGTTGTGTTTCGGCTGCAGGGGCCCCGCTGCTGCAGCAGTTCTGTGGGGCCCCAGCTAGCTAGATAGCGAAGCTCTAGCTAGCCAAGGCAGCTAGCTAGCTAGCTAGCCACACTTTAACTGCTATTAGCTCCTCAAGATGGCAGCTAGCTGTGCTGGTTAGCTGCAGAGCTCCCGCAGTGCAGCCCGGCTAGCTACATGGGCACCGCAGCTAGCTGGCTAGCCAGGCTACGGGCCCAGCTAGCTAGCTGGCTAGCTAGCTAGCTAGCTAGCCTGCTGCTGCCAATGCCTGCTGCTGTCAATGGGCTGTAGCCGCTCGCTGCAGCAGCAGCGTCTGGCTAGCTGCAGCTAGCCAGATGCTGCAGCTAGCCGCGGCTAGCTACTGCTGGCAACAGCTAGCTACAGCTAGCTAGCTGCATGTAGGCCGTGCCAAGTTCTCTAGTCCCCCAGCTCTCCAGCTAGCTCCCCTAGCTAGCTAGCTGGCTAGCTAGCTAGCTGGCTAGTTAGCTAGCTGGCTAGCCAGCTAACTAGCTAGCTAGCTAGCTAGCTAGCTAGCTAGCTGGCCCACAGTGGTTGGCTGCAGAAGCAAGGCAGCTCAGGTAGATGAACAGCTAGCTGCTGCGGAAAGCCCAAGCTAGCTGCAGCTAGCTGGAGCCTCAGCTAGCTGCAGCTAGCTAGCCACAGCCAGCTAGCCACCTCTAGCTATCTCCTGCTGCAGCTAGCTAGCTGCAGCCAGCTAGCTGTAGCTAGCTGCAGCTAGCTGTAGCTAGCTGTAGCTAGCTGTAGCTAGCTGTAGCTAGCTGGAAAGGTAGACAAATAAAAAGAAATAATGAGAAGGGGAAATACATTTAATAGGGCTAATAGTGTTGCTTCTATTAAAGCTGTTGTTGCTGCTGCTGCTGCTGCTGCTGCCGCTGCTGTTGCTGCTGCTATGGCGCCAATTACTTAAACAACAGCAAGAGCAAAACTTATGCTGCTGCTACTGCTGCTGTTGCTGCTGCTGCTAGGGCTGCTACGACTGGTGATGCTGCTCCTACTTTTGATGCTGCTGCTGCTACTGCCACTGCTCCTGTTGCTGCTCCTGCTGCTGCCGCTGCTGCTACTGCTATTGCTGCTGCTACTGCACCAATTAGTGCAATTGTTGCTACTGCAACACTTGTTGGTTCTTCTGCTTCTGCTTTGCTGCTGCTGCTGCTGTTGTTATTGCTGTTGCTGCCAGTACTGCATCTGTGTAATTGTAACTGGCTGCAGCTGCTGCCACTCCCCCTGCTGCTACTGCTGCTGCTGCTGCTGCTGCTACTGTTAGTGCTGCTGCTGCTGCTGTTAGTGCTGCTGCTGCTGCTGTTAGTACTGCTGCTGCTGCTGTTAGTACTGCTGCTGCTGCTCTACTCTTCAACGAAAGGAAGCAAATAGAGTTCTTGAATGCAGTGGAGAGGCAACAAGGATTTTTTAAGTAAGATATAATGAACAAATAATTAAATTTAATTAATTAAATGAGAGACATTGAAAAAATACAAAATAATTAAAGACAAAACAGGTCCCACCGGGACTCGAACCCGGGTTAGTGGATTCAAAGTCCACGGTGCTAACCACTACACTATGGAACCGCGGACGTCGGCTGCTGCTGCTGCTGTTGCTGCCGCTGCTGCAGCTGCTGCAGCCGCTGCTGCTCCTGCTGCAGCTGCTGCTGCGGTTTCGTATAAGCGAATGAAAGACATCTGAAGTACTCTCTTTTAATTTTTGTTAAAATGCATTTCAGGTTAGACAAGTTCTCGGATACCGCTGCAAGGGCTGCAGCAGCAGCAGCAGCAGCAGAAGCGGCAGCTGCTGCTGCTGCTGCAGCAGACGCGCAGTAGCAGCTGCTGCTATTTCTTTCGCGTGAGCTGCGCACAGTGTTCTCTTTGCTTTTATTAAATAACTCAAAAACAGATTAATTGTTTTATATTTCTAATTCTTGTTGCTGAGGCTGCAGCTAGGGGGCTTCTGCAGCACCGAGGCCCCTCAACAAGCAGCAGCAGCAGCAGCAGCAGCAGACAAATGAAACCTTTGCGGCGGCTGGAGAGAACTGTCCTCTGCGGCGATTCACAGCAGCAGCAAACGCGCTCAACACCCTTTCCGTCGGCAGCAGCAGCATCAGCAGCAGCAGCAGCAACAGCGGCAGCAGCAGCAGCAGGATGGCAGCAAATGCCCCCGACAAGGATTCGCTGAGCGTTGGCGGCCCCGAAGAGCCTCAAGCCCCCCAGGCCCCTGCAGCAGCGCAGCTGGCCGCCCCCCCCCCACAGCAGCAGCAGCAGCAGCAGCAGCAGCAGCAGCAGCAGCAGGACGTGTTGGCGGGAGCCGCCGCCCCTGCAGGCGCGGCCTTGCGCAGCGGCGGAGCCGCGCCCTCCGCCGCAGCAGGCGGCTCGTGCTGCAGCGCCGGCGCTTCCCCCGCAGCAGCAGCAGCAGCAGCAGCAGCAGCAGCAGCAGCAGCAGCAGGGTTCGGAGAAAGCGCGCTGCTGAGCCGCGTTCGCCTGGAAGCAGAGTGCGAGTTCGTGCAGGCCCTGGGAAACCCCAACTACGTTTGCTTCCTGCAGCAAAAAGGGTTTTTTGAAAATAAAAAGTTTATTTCTTATTTGAACTATTTGAGTTACTGGCAGCAGCAGCCGTACGTACACCTCATTCAGTTCCCCCTCGCCCTCAAGGTGCTGCAGCTGCTGCAGGCAGCAGCAAACCGCAAGGCCTTAGCAGCAGAAGACGCGCTGCTGCTGCTGCAGCACAACTTCCAGCTCCACTGGCTCACTCTCGACACGGACGTCCACAGGGACGAGCCCTAGCCCTGCAGCAGCAGCTGCTGCTGCTGCTGCTGCTGCTGCGGCAGGGGCGGACAAGGCAGCTGCAGCGGACGCAGCTGCTGCAGCGGGAGCAGCAGCAACGCCGGCAGCAGCAGCAGCAACGCCGGCGGCGTTGTCCGGGCACAGACCTTCTGCTCTCCCCAACTGAGCCACGCCAGCAACAGCAGCAGCAGCAACAGCAGCAGCAACAGCAACAGCAGCAGCTACTGATGTTGCTGCCTTTCTTGCTTCAGGAATGCGGCCCTCCGTTGTGCAGGCGCTTTGCGGCCCTGCGGGGGTCTGCCCATAAGCAGCGTGCTGCTGCTGCTGCTGCTGCTGGCATTCCTGCTGCTGCTGCTCCTAGTGGTGGGGTGGCTTCTGCGGGTAGAGCTGCTGCTGCTGCTGCTGCTGCGAGGCAGCCAGCACCGCCGTGTGCTGCAGCTGCTGCGCAGCACAAGCTTTGGCGACGCCAAGCAGCAGCAGCAGCAACAGCAGCACAGCAGCAGCAGCTGCAGCAGCAGCCACTCGGCCAAGATAGTGCAAGGCAGCAAGTCTTGCATGAGCAGCTTCTGCAGCAGCTGGATGCACTGCTGCTGGCGGCTAAGCAGCAGCAGCAGCAGCAGCAGATGGCGCACGTCCTGGAGCCAAATGTTCTGTCTGTGAGCCAAACTGGTTTGCTGCTGAAGGCCATCTTGTCGCTGCCGCTTCTTGCTGCTGCTGCTTCCTTTAGGGAGCTGCTGCTGCTGCAGCACCCGCTGCTGCAGCTGGCTGTGCGTTCAGTGTCTACGAACTGCGACTCGCTGCGTGCTGCAGCAGCAAAGGATGCTCTGCTGCTGCTGCTCGTGCTGCCGCCCAGGCAGCAGCAGCAGCAGCAGCAGCAGCCGAGGGTGCGTCTGCAGCGGCTGCTGATTGCGCGTCTGGTGCGGCGGCTGCTGCTGGTGGGAGTTGAGATGCAGGAGCAGCAGCAGCAGCACCTGCTGCTGCTGCCGTTTTTGCTGCTGGCAAAGGACCCTTACTTTGCGCAGCAGGAAGGCTTGTGGCAGCAGCTGCTGCAGCAGCAGGTGGCAGCAGCTGCAAATGGCCCCTTGCTGCTGCAGCCGCAGCAGCAGCAAGAAGCAGCAGTGACATGGGCCCTGCAGTGCCTCGCCACTGCAGCACGGACTGCCGCCAAGGCCAGCAGCAGCAGCAGCAGCAGCAACAGCAGCAGCGGGAGAGACAGCTCATTTGTGTACGAGCTGGTGTATCGCCACCTGGGAAGCGAATGGCTGCTGACAGCAAGCCCTGCTGCTGCTGCTGCTGCGCTGCTGCAGCTCTGCCGCTTGGGGGCCCTAGATGGGGCCCTTTTTGCTGCTGCTGCTGAGGGGCTGCTGGCGAATGCGCAGCTGCAGCGGGAGGAGCAGCTGCTGCAGCTGCTGCAGCTGATGGCTGTCTGCAAGAGTTATTTCGACACCAGCATCAACCCTGCTGCTGCTGCTGCTGCTGCTGCGGCAGCGGCGGCAGAAGACGCTGCTGCTGCTCCAGGACGCAGCAGCAGCAGCAGCAGCGGCAAACAGCCGGCGCTGGTGCCGTCAGACTTGCTGCTGCAGCACCCGCTGTACACAGAGCGCAGCCGTTTGCTGCTGCGGCTGCTGCGGCTGCGGGTGTCTTTGCGTGCAGCAACAGCAACAGCAGCAGCAGCAGTTGCTGAGGGCTTTGCACTGACTCATCTGCTGCCAGCTTCTGCTTCCTACAAAGCTGTGCTGCTGCGCCGCTGCTGCAGCGGGCTGCTGCAGGAGCTGCAGCAGCCGCAGCAGTTTGCTGCTGCGCTGCTGCTGCTGAGCCGCCTGGGGATGGGCCACGGCTCTGCTGCTCGCTTTGCTGCTGCTGCTGCTGCTGCGCGCTTTCTGCCTGCACTGCAGCCGCAGCAGTTTGCTGCGCTGCTGCTGCAGCTTCCCTTCGCAAACACTCTTGCTGCTACGGTTGCTGCCCACAAGGCGGCCAAGTCTGCTGCTGCTGCTGCTGCTGCACGCCTAGCGTTTGCTGTGTTGCAGCAGCAGCTGAGGCAGCTGCAGCAGCAGCAGCAGCAGATGCTGCTGCTGCCAGGGCTGCCAGGCGAATCCACAGAGACCTCGCTTCCGGTCGCAACACCAGCAGCAACACCAGCAGCAGCACGAGCAGCGGCAGCAGCAGCAGCAGCAGCAGCAGAAGGCGAGGAAGCACTTGCTGCTGCTGATGTCTTGGTGTCTTTGCTGCACAAGATGCGCCTTGCGGGTTTCTGCCGGTTTGCCCCAGAAGCTGTTGCTGCTTGCTGCGCTGCAGCAGTTGCTGCTGCGCCTCCTGCAACAGCAGCAGCAGCAGCAGCAGGGGGCCTTGCTGCTCTCTCGCTGCCGCAGCTTGCTGTTGTTGCTGAATGCTTTGCTGCCCTCAACAGCAGCTTGCCTCAGCCACTACTTGCTGCAGTGCTGCAGCGGCTGCGAGCTTCAGGGGGTGCAGCAGCAGCAGCAACAATTGTTGCTATGGCGAAAGCTGCTGCTGGCGAAATCGCTCCTTACGCCAAGTGCAACACTCCGTTTGGTGCTGCTGCTGCTTCTGCTGCTGCTGCTGCTGCTGCTGATTCGGCAGCAGCTTTGGAAGGCCGGGCACTAGTTGTAGCTGGACCCGCAGAAGCAACAGCAGCATCAGCAGCAGCAGGAGCAGCAGCAGCAACATCAGCATCGCCAGCAGCAGCACTGACCTCCCGTGAGCGGCTGCCCGCAGTAGCAGCAACGGCAGCAGCAGCCGCTGCTGCTGCTGCTGCGTCGGCGGGGACTGATGCTGCAGCAGCAGCAGCTGCTGCTGCTGCAGTTGCTGCCACGGCAAAGGACCTGCTGCTGCTGCTGCTGCAGCTGGCTGAGCGGACACGGCTGACAGCAGCGGAGGCCGTTGGCATGATGTGGGCTGCTGCTACTGCTGGAGAGACTGCAGCAGCAGAAAAGCTGCTGCGGAGAACTACACAGCTATGGTAAGCTCCAGCAGCAGCAGCAGCAGCAACAGCAGCAGGAGGCAGTAGCAGCAGCAGTAGCTGCAGCAGTAGGAGTACCAGGAACACGAGCAGCAGTAGTACCAGCAACAGCAGCAGCAACAGCATTAGCAGCAGCAGCAGCAGTAGCAGCAGCACCAGTGCGTGCAGTAGCTTTGGCAGCTCCAGAAGCAGCTCTTGTGGCAGCAGCAGCAGCAGCTGCAGAATTTGTATCTTAAGCAGCAGCAGGTTCACGAGCAGAAGTGAGAGCAGCAGCAGGAGAATAACGTACATGCACAGCATTAGTAGCAGCAGCGACAAAAGCAGCAGCAGCAGCAGCAGGAACCGCAGCGCCGCCTCTACTTTCAGCAGCAGCAGCAGCAGCAGCAGCAACTGTGCTGTGGTTTTTATGTGCAGCATTTCGAATTGGGCGTTGCTGCGGGGAGACAGAAGCTGCTGCTTGCAGCTCTATGAGGCTTTATGTCTTCTTGCTGCTGCAGCACCAGCAGCTGCAGCAGAGGCCCTGGGGAGGCTAGCTGCTGCTAGCAGCATACCAGAGCTGCAGCAGCAGCAGCAGCAGCAGCAGCGTATGGCGCAGCTGTCGCCCATGCAGGAGTTCGAGCAGCAACTACTGCTACAAGAAGAGGCACAGCAGCACCAGCAGCAGCAACAGCAGCAGCAGCAGCAAGAGCAGCAGTTGCTGCTCTCCCCCGTGGCAGCAGCAATAGAGCACCTCAGCGCAGATGCTGACGGCCCATTTATGCAGCAACTTGCTGCTGCTCTTGGAACAATGGAAAGCACACTAGCTTCACAGCCGGCAGCAGCAGCAGCAGCAGCAGCAGAAGCAGCAGCAGCAGCAGAAGCAGAAGCAGAAGACGCAGCAGCAGACGCAGCAGCAAAGTGGAGCCTTGAGGGTCCTGAAGATTTGGTGCCACCACTTCCCCTGCTGCAGAGCATTACGCAAACTGAAGCAGCAGCAGCAGATGGAGCAGCAGCAGGATCAACAGCAGCAGCTGCACCTGCTGCAGCAGCAGAGACAGCAGCAGCCGGAGCAGCAGCAGGAACAGCAGCAGCATCAGTGCCACCACAGCGAGGAGCAGCACCTTCCAGGCCTCCAGTAGCAGCAGCAGAAACACCTATAGAAGCAGCAGCTGAAGTCACAGCAACGATCAAAGCAACAGCAGCAACAGCAGCAGCAGCAGCAGCAGCAGCAGCAGCAGCAGCAGCAGCAGATCCTCGAGAGTTCCTGCTGCTGCGGCGTCCCCTTGAAGGAGGAGAAGAGACACTACAGAAGGCAGCAGATGCCTCCATATTGGCAGAGCTGCAAATACGTAAGCAGCAGCAGCAGCAGCAGCAGCAGAAGCAGCAGCAGCAGCAGCAGCAGCAGCTAGGGAGATGCTGCGTTGGCCTAGGCTGACAGTGCGTGTCTTCGTTTTATTTCTCCTTTGTTCATCACTTCAAATAAATAAATAAATAATCAAATGGAATGTAATTTGTTTTATTTTACTTATCAATTATTAATTAATTAATTAATTAATTTATTTATTTATGTTCTTTGCTTTTGCAGTTTTTCGAAGCGCCAGGAGGCCAACAAGGCGACATGTAGGTTTAGGGTTTAGGGTTTAGGGTTTAGGGTTTAGGATTAAGGTTTAGAGTTTAGGCTTTAGAGTTAAGCGTTTGGGGTTTAGGGTTTAGGGTTTAGGGTTTAGAGTATAGGGCCCGGGGCTGCGGCGCTTAACTTGCGTAATTTTTCTAGCTTGAGTCGCCGTGCCGTAGCTCAGGGTTTAGGGTTTAGGGTTTAGGGTTTAGGGTTTAGGGTCTGTTGGTGTGCTGCAGTTGGAGACTTGTGTCTCCTTTGGGCGTCTTCTTTCGCTGCTGCCAGTCGCTTCTTTCTTCCGCAGCTCAGCAGCAGCAGCAGCAGCAGCAGCAGCAAAAGGAGCAGCAGCAGCAGCAGCAGCGGGAGCGCCTCCTCGCCCGTGGGTTCTCACCAGCGCGGCGGCCACCCCCAGCAGCAGCAGCAGCAACAGCAGCAGCAGCAGCAGCAGGATATTGGAGTGTCTGTCCACTGGAGGGTTTACTTTGCTGCCTCTCGCAGGAGCTGAACATACACCTGACTGGGGCAGCGAAGAGTGGGGAATTGGTTTGCTGCTGCTGCAGGAAGCAGCAGATGTTTCTTTTTCTCCTTCTTTGCTGCTGCAGCGCAGAGTTGCTGAACTTGCTGCTGCTGCTGCTGCTGCTGCGGGGACCCGCCGCCTGCCGCCGCACCAGGAGCGGCTGCTGCGCGAGCTGCAGCAGCTGCAGCAGCTGCAGCAAACCCTCCAGCAGCAGCAGCAGCAGCAGCAGCAGCACTTCAGACTTAGGCCTCATGCTGCGCTGCGCCAGAGGATTCTGAAAGAACTTTTGGGCTGGGAGATCATTTGCTTAAATGCAACAAAGGTAAACCCTAAACCCTAAACCCTAAACCCTAACTTGAAGATGTGTCGTGGGCAGAAGTTTCCTTTAACAGGTGCTACAGCGGTGCTCTTATGGTGGCGTCTAGGGTTTAGGGTTTAGGGTTTAGGGTTTAGGGTTTGGGGTTTGTGGGCTTCAGGTTGCTGCGCTGCTGCATCCTGCTGCGGAGCAGTTGCTGCTGCAGCGCGTTGCTGCTGCACCACGGAAGGCGCCTCTGCCTTCCATTCTCTCAGCAGCAGGAGCAGCAGCAGCAGGAGCAGCAGCAGCAAAAGCAGCAGGAGCAGCAGCAGAAGCAGGAGTAACTTGGGAAACAGCAGAGGAGCCGCAGCTGCTGCGTGCTGCTGCTGCTGCGCAGCTGCAGCAGGAACTTTTCTTTATTTTTAACGAATAAAAACTTTTAAATAAATTTCAGCTGAATGAAATAAAACAAATAAATATTTATTTATAAATAATTATAATTACAACACATAAATAAATAAAAAGTAAATGAAGAAATAAATATTTGAGGATACCTCAATAGGCATATAGAGAAACAGTTTAGGGGCAAATAAATAAACAAATAAAAGAATAAGGAAGAAAACAAATAATAAATAATAAATAAGTAATAACTAGTAAATGAATAACAACCGACAAATAAATAAATAATAAATAAATAATAATTAATTAATTAAATAAACGCTAGGGGCAAGAAGATGCAGGAAGAGCGAGGGAGCGAACAAGGGGGGAAAAGAGCGCAAACAGGAAATGAAAAGATGAATAAACAAATGAAGCAGAAGGGACTTTTAATTTCTTTTATTTAATTCAAAAGATTCAAATTTGCTGCCGAATTCCTATATTTCCTTTTTGCTGCTTCGGGTGTATCGGCAGAGTTTGCAAAAGCAAGAAAAACGGGCTCGTTGCTGCGGAGCTGGGGTGTATAGGCAGCTCGGGGGGAGCGAGACGGGGCCAAATGGAGTTCCCGGTGGAAATTAAAAGCAAATAAATAATAAATAAATAAATAAATAGACAAATAAAAGAAAAATGAACAATTTAAATGCAGTTTCGAGCCCTCACGCTCGCGCAGCTGTCCATACACTCGACCTGCAGCCGCTGCAGTTGCAGACGTCGCAGCACCCGAAGCAAATGGCCTTATTCGCAGTTAAATATGTTTAATTTTAATTATTTTTATATCTTAAATTCCAAATTTGCGTTTTTATTTTCGTTTTCCGGTTTAGTTCGGGTTTTGGCTCCTGTCTCGTTTGAGGTGTCCATACACCTCAGCGAGGCAGCGCCCTCTAGTGTCTTCGTCTTGTCTTCCATTATATTTCTTCTTTCGAGCTGAACTGCTGCCAGAGATGATTCAAATGAGGAAAACTCTTCATTTTCTTCGTTTAAATTAACTTAAAATCTTAAAAATTCGTTAATTTTCACTCAAATGCCGCAGTTGCTGCTGCTGGTGCTGCGGTGTACGTACCTCATGGGAGCGAGACCACCGGTGCGCCGCCTGCTGGCGGCGCGCGGCGACGTTTTGTGCGGGACTTACCTCGAAAAGAAAATTCGGAGGTTTTGAATAAGTTTGTTTTGCTATTTGAATTAAATCAATTAAAAAAAAGGAAAAAGAAGCTTCAAATGGCGGAGAACGGCTCGCGGGCGGGCGGGTGGGGAGGCTCCGGCTCGGCCGGTGGTTTGGGGTGTACGTACAGCATTTGCGGCTAAAGAACGAGGTTCTGTTTGCAATCTTTGAATTTCAAATCCATTTTTAGTCGAAATAAAGCGAAATAAATCGAAAAAGGGTCTAAAGAGCGGCAGAAACCGCAGCAGCAGCAGCAGCCCCAGCACACCGCCGGGGCACACCCTGCTGCACCTCAGCCTGCTTTTCCTGCTGCTCTTTCGAGGATTTGGGGTGTCTGCTGAGCTCTGCAGCAGCAACTAACTCAATTAATCTCACTTGAGTCAATTTGTTTTCTTCTTGGTGTTTTCTGGACCTTTATTTTCTGAAAAGGGAAGCAAAAGGCAGCAGCAAACCCCTGCAGCAGCAGCAGACGGCAGCAGCACCAGTGGACGGACCGCCGCAGCAGCAGCAGCAGCAGCAACAGCTGCAGCGCCTGCTGCCAGTTTGCGAGCGTGGGGTCTCGTGCTTTGAGTTTTTTGCTGTTGGTTTTGTGTCTGTTGTGTCTTGCTGCGTTGTGTCTGTTCATTTGCTGCTGCAGCAGCAACTGCCGCTGCTGCTGCTGCTCCCGACAAGATTTGTTGCTTTGTTGCTGTTGCTGCTCGGAAGCTCCGAAACAGAAGCTAAAGACAGAGGTGGGTGCATTGCGCTGCTGCTGCTGCTGCAGCTTCTGCGGTTGCTGCTGCTGCTGCTTTGGGCTACTACTCTTTATATGCAAAATGGCTTTGTGGGGTGTCTTCTTGCTGCTTCTTTTGCTGCCCAAAATGCATTCCAATTAATTCGTTTCTTTTCAATTCATTTTCGCTGAATTATTGTTACTTTTATTTGTTCTGCTGCCTCACTTGAACTGTCTGCTGTTGCTGTTGCTGCTGCTGTTGCTGCTGCAGCAGCAGCAGCAACAGCAACAGTTGCAGCACATGTGGGAGTGCCTGCTGCTTCTGTGCTTGTTTCTTGGATTTCATTTTCATTTTATTAAATTCATATTTAATTCTTTTTTGTTTTATTTCTTTATTCTTAAATGACTCTTATCGTTTTAATGTGTTTCTTCAAGTTTCTTATTTTAGGGGTTTCGTGTCTTGCTGCTGGTATAAAACTCTGTCGTTTCGTTTTTGCTGCTGCTGCTGCTGCTGCTGCTGCTGCTGGTCCTGGTGCTGCTGCTGCGAGCCCTGTTTCTGTTTCTGCCTTTTTTGCCATTTCCGCCACTTCTGTTGCTGCTGCTGCTCTCGCTGCCGTTGCTGCTGGCGTTGCTGCTGCTGTTGCTGCTGCTGCTTCTGCCGCTGCTGCTACCGCCATTGCTGTTGCCGCTATTACTGCTGCTGCTGCAGCTGCCGCTGCTACTTCTGCTGCTGCTGTTTCTGCTGCTGCTTCTGCTGCAGTTGCAGTTCCTTGAGTTTGACCTTCTTTTATTTATCTGCTTTATGGATTTAAATGTGAAGTTTTCACTTGTTTTGAATTGGTTTCGTTTTCGTTTTTATTTTTAATTCTGAAATGAAAGATATCTGTTGAAATCCCCCTCTCGTTGGCTTCTTTTATTTAGTGAATGTGGTCATTATAATTTGTTTTTAGTTTGTTTGTTTTTATTTGTCTGTTTTTAATTATTTGTTTTGTTTATTTAAAAATTTTTTTTGCATGCGGTGGGGTGTACGTACACCTGGTGAAGGTTTGCATTTGGCGTTTGTGCGTTTTTGGGTCTTTTTGGCGAATTTTGGATCATTTTGTTTCTTTTTGAACCCATTTGAATATTTTTTGTCTAAAAAGAAGAAATTAATTCATTTAATTCTCTTTTTTCGCGTTTTTCGCTCTCTTTTTCGTCTCTTCACTGCTGCGTTTCCTTCCTCGCTCAACTGCCCGCTCGCGTTGCATGCGCTGAGGTGTATAGACACCTCCGACTCCCACAAAGTCCTTTTCGCATTTGCGGATTTGTCGGAGTCTTATTTCATTTGATTTGTGAAGAGTTGGGTGCAGCAGCGGCAAAAGGAGCAGCAAAAGACAAAAATAGTTCTTTAGATTCTCAAAGAGACTTTGCTGCTTCTCCTCTCAGTGTCTCTTTCTCCTCTCTCTCCCCACTCTTCGTTTGCTGCTGTCCACCGAATGGCTAGCTGGCTGGCCGTTCAGCTAGCTAGCTAGCTGGGTAGCTAGCTGGCGGCCTGGCTGGCTAGCTGGGCAGCTAGCTGGGCAGCTAGCTAGCTAGCTAGCTGGCCGGCTAACTAGCTAGCTAGTTAGCTGGCTAGCTAGCAGGCGGGCTCGCTGGCTGGCTGGCTGGCTGGCTGAGCAGTGGGCGCCAGCCCTAGCTAGCTAGCTAGCTGGAAAGCTAGCTAGCTAGCTAGGGAGGGAGGGCTGGCTAGCTAGTGTGGACTAGCTAGCTGTTGTCGAGCCGGCCAGCTAGCCGCTTGGCTGGCTGGCTAGCTGGCTGGCTAGCTGGCTGGCTGGCTGGCTGGCTGGCTGGCTGGCTGGCTGGCCGTTCAGCTAGCTAGCTAGCTAGCTAGCTGGCTAGCTAGCCGGCTAGCTGGCTGGCCAGCCAGCCAGCGAGCTAGCTAGCTGGCTGTCTAGCTAGCTCCCCAGCTAGCTTGTCTGCGGCGTAGCTAGCTAGCTAGCTAGCTCGCTAGCTAGCTAGCTAGCGACACAAAAAATGCAGACATAGTTCGCCCGTACGCTGCCTTCAGGACGCCGACCTCGGTGCAGTGAAGCCCGGAGCAGCAGCAGCAGCAACAGCAGCAGCGGCAGCAGCAGCAACGGCAACGGCAACAGCAGCAGCAACGCCAGCAACAGCAGCGGCAGCAGCAACAGCAGCAGTAGGGAGAGCGGCCAAAGCAGCAGCTACGGTAGAGTCAAAGGAGGGAGCAGCAACAGCACGGTCGCCAAAGCGTGATTATTGTTTTCTTTCAGCAGCAACCGCAGCAGCAGCAGAAGCAGCAGCAGCAGCAGCAGCAGCATGGTTGCACCTAGCCTGCGGACCTTTCCTCCTTTACCCATTTCGCTGGCTGCCCATGGCGCCGCGGAGCAGCAATGCATTTGGAGGGGCCCTCTCCGTTTTTTTGAAGCAGAAGAGCTGTTGAGCAGCAGCAGCAGCAGCAGCAGCAGCGGCAGCGGCAGCAGCAGCAGGAGCGGCGACAGTGCTTGGGCGGCGAACGCCTCCCCGGTGCTGGACTCCTGCCTTGCTGCTGATGAGGGCCAGGCAGCAGCAGCAGCAGCGGCAGCGAATGGGCAGCTGACTGCAGCAAACACAGCAGCAACAAAGGATACAAGAGAAGCTAGAGCGGCAGCAGAGGTTGCTGCTGCTGCTGCTAAGCAGCAGCAGACGGCCCAGAGCCGCATCGGAGTTCCCGGGGGCCCGGCAGCAGCTGCGAAGGGGTCGTCGTTCGCCGCTGCTACTGGTGCTGCTGCTGCTGCTACGGCTGTTGCTGCTGCTGATGCAGCAGCAGCAGCAGCTGCAGCAGCAGCGGCCGGCGACTTTGCCCCGGCGGGAATTGCCGCTGCTGTCAGTGAGCAGCGCCGCCGCAGCAGCAACAGCACAAGCAGCACAACTGTGACCAGCGCGAGCGACGGCAGCAGCAGCAACAACAGGAGCAGCAGCAGCAGGAGCAGCAGCAGCAGCAGCTATCTCTGTCCACCCCCACCCTGCCTGCGGCCGCAGCCCCCCCCAGACTTATCTATGGAAGATGAAGAAATGGATTTGCTGCTGCTGCCGCGGCTGAAGTATGCGTGGGAAGACACGGAAGATCCTTTCTGCTGCTGCTGCTTGCTGCAGTCTGCTGCAGCAGCAGCAGACAGCAGCAGCGCGGAAAAGCCATCGGCAGCAGCGGTAGCCATGCATGGGCTCTCGCAGCAACTCAGTGAAGCACTGGCCAAGTGCATGGGCTGAAGCTTTTGCTGCTGCTGCAGCAGCAACAGCAGCAGCAGCGGCATTTTTGCAGTCGGCAGAAGGTGCAGCAAAAACAGCGGCACGAAGTGCAGCAGCACCTAGCAGGCAGCAGCAGCAGCAGCAGAACTTGCTGCTGCTGCTTTATATACCGGGGCGCAACAAAGTTGTCCTATACGTCTGCAGCCGTTGCTGCTGTTTTTGCTGCCGGTGCTGCTGTGCTGCTGCTGCTGCTACTGCTGCAGCGACTCCAAGCTACTGCTGCTGCTTGCGTATGGATCTGGTCAAGTCCTGACAAACAGCTGGGGCGGTTTTTTGTTTTGCCAGCCCGCAACAGCAGCAGCAGCAGAAGCAGCAGCAGGAAGTGCTGCAGCAGTCGCAGCAACAGCAGCAGCAGCAGCAACAGATGGCGACTATCGAGAGAAAGACAGCTGACTCTTTTTTGCTGTTCTCTGGCGCCAATGTGTTTATTAAGGTAAATTGTAGGTAGGTCTATTTTTTTTTGTTTTCCATCATTTGGGAAGCAATGCAGCAGCAGGAAGCAGCAGCAGCAGCAGCAGCAGGAGCAGCAGCAGCAGTAGCGGCGGCAGTGCTAGCTGTAGCAGCAGCGGCAGCGGCGGCAGTAGAGGCACAGGTGCAGCCACAGGAACAGCAATAGCAGCAGCAGCAGCTGGAGGTGGTGGCGGCAAAGACATCCTGTTGAAGCAGCAGCATAGCAGGAGCAGCAGCAGGAGCAGCAGCAGCAGCAGGACTGCGTGCAGTGCTGCAGAATTCTTAAATGCATTTTTCGGGTCCAGTGGACCATTGGTTCAAAACCATCAGCAGCAGAATGGCCAAGACCTGAAGCTCTGCTCAAGCAGGGCCTGTCAAGGCCAGCAGCAGCAGCAGCAGCAGCAGTATAGCTGCAGCAGCAGTAGCAGCAGCAGCAGCAGCAGCAAAACCGCTGCCGCTGCCTGCAAGTCTTTTGATCACAAGAGACGCTTTCAGTCGAAGCAGCAAAATGCAACAGGACTTTCGGCTCGCTGTCCAGGGAGGGACGCAACAGCAGCTACTGCAGTTGATGCTGCTGCTGCTGCTGCTGCAGCAGCTGCTGCTGCAGCAGCAGGAGCAAACGCAGCAGCTGCCACAGCAGCAGCTGCGGCGGCATCTGTCCCGGGAGCTGATGCGGCAGCCCTGGCGGCAGACGCTGCGTTTGCTGCTGCTGCAGCAGTTGCTGCAGCAGTTGCCGCAGCAGTTGCTGCTGCTGCTGCAGCAGCAGCAGCAGCAGGATGGCGAGGGAGTTGGAGTTGAAGGTTTGAAGGCGTTTTGTTTTTTTTTTCATTGAAAAGGATCTTCTGGAAAAAGGAAAAAAGAGAGTTTTGGAGTTCGGCAAAAAGCCGCAGCAGCAGAAGTGTGTGGCGTGGGGTGTACGTACACCCCAAGTGCGCAGCAAGCGCGCGGAGCTCGGAGAAGCAGCAAAAGACAAATTCTTTCTTCATTGTCCTTCGAGTTTGCTGCTGCTGCAGCGTTTTCTGCTGCTGCAGCAGCAAGTCCTTCTCGGTTGACTTTCGAAGTTGTCAATGGAGACAATAAGTCAATTCAGATCCCACTTGCGAGAGTCGCTGCTGCTGCTGCTGCTGCTGCTGTTGCTGCTGTCAAAGGAGCCCCCTGCTGCTGTTGCTGCTGCTCCTGCTGCTGCCGCCGTCTTAGAGACGTAGATGCCTGCGGCTGAGGCTGCCGTTAAATGCAGACGCGCGCTGCTGCTGCTGTTGCTGCTGCTGCTGTCAGTTGGTTAGGATTGCTGCTGCTGCTGTTGCGGCTGTCGCTGCTGCTGTAGCTGTGTTATTGTTTACTTAGTAAAGGGATTTGTAGATAGTGCTGCTGCTGCTCTTTCGAGAAGAGGGGGCCTCCTGCTGCCGTTTCTGCTGCAGCTGCTGCAGCTGCAGCTGCTGCTGCAGCTGCAGCTGCGGTCCTAGAGTCGGAGCCTACTGCAGCAACTGCTGCTGCGCAACCACTGGTGGAAACTGCTGCTGTTGCTGCTGCTGTTTCGACGTAGAGAAGTGCTGCTGCTGCGGCACAGGTGTAGATGACTGTGGTGCTGCTAGTGCTGCTGCCGTGGCTGCTGCTGCTGCTGCTGTGAAGGGTACCTCTTGAAGTGGTGCTGCTGTTGCTGCTGGTTCTGTATTGGTGCCGCTGCTGCAGGGTTGGACGATTGCTGCTGCTGCTCCTGCTACAGGAACGCGTGGGGCAGCAGCAGGATCGGGTCCTTGCTGCTGCTGCTGCAGCAAAAAACACCTGCTGCTGCTTTTCATACTGTTCTGGTGGACGCATTCTCCTGCTGATATAAAGGGTTCTGCTGCTGCTGCTGCTGCTGCTGTTAATGTATGCTGTTGCTGCTGTTAAAGGAGCCTTCTACTGCCACTTCTGCTTCTTCTGGGAAGACGCTTAGTATAACGGTTGCTGCTGCTGCTGCTGCTGCTGCTGCCAGTTTCAGCTGCTGCTGCTGCTGTGTGTGTAGCTTAAAAACTTTGGTGGACTGCAGCAGCAGAATGGCCCTTGGAAGTAAATAATGCATTATTTGGACTTTTATAAAAATGAAAATTAAACATATCTTTAAAAAGATGTTCTGGAAAGTATTTTACAAACCCTAAACCCTAAACCCTAAATTTCGGACTATGGGTCTGCGCATCCTCGCAAATTAGTTAAATAGTTTTCTCTTTTGAATTTATATAACATTCAAGATGTTTTTTAAATTTAAAAACTTTTAAAATCTTTTTCAAATTCAAAAAGCTCGAATCCAAATATGTGCATTTTGTGCACTCCAGAGCAAAATTGAAGGTGAGTCAGTAAGTCCTTTTTTACTCTTTAAATTCATTTGTTATTTTTATTTATAAACGAGAAAAATATTTTCCAGCAAGTTCTTTTGTTGCTGCTGCGCATGCATGGGGTGTACGTACACCCGGCACACGTTTAAACGCCATTTTAAGTATTTTAAATGATTTAAAAGTCCACTATACCATTATAAATACAATATATGCTTAAATGGGCTTTTAAAAGTGCATTAAATGAAGTATTTATTTAATTTTGGCATTGTAAATATACTCCTGGGGTGTATGTACACCTCTTAATGTAAGTACACCTCAAACAACAAAATGTCATTTTTAAAATAAATCACTTTAAATGCATTAAAGATGCCATTTCATTTTAAAAGACCACTATTAATGGTATTTAAATAAATATTTCATTTTATTTAAAAATATTTAATATTAATTTCTAAATTTTTCATTCGCATGCGCAGTGTACATACACCGCAGCTCGAGTGTACGTGCATGCATGCAAGCTGCGGTGTACGTACACCCAAGCCTCTGACGTTTTGCGTTTAATTGAATTTACTTAAATAAATATATTTTAAAGTCATTTTGTTTGAAGTTTATTTTATTTTGAGCAGATAGTGCATGTTTTGCAATTTGTACTTCATACATTTATTTAATTTAATTAATTTAATTTAATTAATTTCATTTTATAAAATAAAGATGTATTTATTTTATTTTATAAAATAATAGAAATAGTTTTTGCACAATAAATGCCAGCTTTCCCACTTCGCTGCTGCTGCTGCTGCGGTGCTTCTGCTGCTGCAGTGTTGCTACTCCTGCCGTGCTGCTGCTGCTGCTGTGCTGCTGTGCTGCTGCTGCTGCTGCTGCTGTGCTGCTGCTGCTGCTGCAGCTGTGCTGCTGCTGCTGCCGCTGGAGGGCTTTGCATTATTGCAGCAGCAAAATAAAAAACAAGAAATACATAATTAATTTAAAATATTTAATTATTTTTTGACGTTTTAGTTTACGCAGAGTTCTCATGCCCCCTACTGGAGGGGCAAAAGAAAAAAAACAAATTTCTTTTTGAGACAAACAAACGCCCCACAAACCCTAAACCCTAAACCCTAAACCCTAGACTATAGGCGCATTACCATTATTAAATGAGGGTTTGGGGGATTAGGGTTTTGGGTTTTGCCTTCGCTGTGGGGTGATGCTGCAAAACCCTCGGGCCGCTTAGGGTTTAGGGTTTAGGGTTTTCTGGAAGGAAGAACTCTCAAAATCCAAAACCCTAAACCCCAAAACAGCGTATAGAGGCGGAGGCCCGCGGAGATAAGGAGTTCTGAAGCGGTCGCAAACCCTAAACTTTAAACCCTGAATCAGCGTATATCGTTACAACGCGTGACGTGCAGGCAGCAAACGCGTAAGCGTTTGTTCCTAGGGTTTAGGGTTTAGGGTTTAGGGTTTCGTGAGGGTTTAGGGTTTAGGGTTTCCCGCTGCGCGCAAAATACGGCGGGAAAGAGCTTCTAGAGAAGAAATTGCCTGAGCAGCAAAGCCGCAGAACAAAAGCCACAAAATTAGGGTTTAGGGTTTAGGGTTTAGAGTTTAGGGTTTGAGGGGGCCTGCGCAGTGATCTGTAAGCAGCAAAAGTGCTGAAGACATGAAAAGAGGGGCCACTGCTACTAAGTGTGCTGCTGCTGCTGCAGTCGCTGCTGTTGCTGTTGCTGTTGCTGCTGCTGCTGCTGCTCTTCTTACGTCACTGGCTCTCTGGGACATAAGAGGTTCGTTGGAAGCGGAAAAGTGGGAGGAGAGTGAGGCCCGGGACTGGGGAGAACCATCTGCTGCTGCTGCTGTTGCTGCTGCTGCTGTTGCTGCTGCTGCTGCTGCTCCTGGGGGGGCCCCCTTGCTGCTAAGAGAAGATAAAGGAGACCCTGGAAGATAGCGCTGGTGCCTTGTCTCTTCCATCCGAAACAAAGGCAGCGAAGCCACAGGCTGCTGCTGCTGCCTGCTGCTGCTGCTGCTGCTGCTGCTGCTGATGCTGCTGTTGTTGCTGCTGCTGCTGCTGCGGCTGCGGCCTTCAGCAGCGCCGCTGTGCTGTCTCGAAAGCAGGGGAGTTTCTGACCCTGCTGCAGCTGCAGGTGGCACTGCAGCAGCAGCAGCAGGAGCAGGAGCAGCAGCTGCAGCAGCAGCTTTTGGTGCTGCTTCATTTGCTGCTGCTTTGTGGAAGGCGTAGGGCCTAGCTTTTGCCCGCTGCGCTATTTGCTGAATTCTTGCAGAGAGAACAGCTTGCTGCTGCTCCATATCTGCTGCAAGCACTTCTTCCTGCTGCTGCTGCTGCTGCTGCTGGGTTTGAGTTGCAGCAGCAGTAACAGTTCGGTGTGAGGACGCGGGGCCCGCAAGCAGCTTAGGCACAGGGCTTCGTGCTGCTGCTGCTGCTGTTGTTGTTGTTGCTGCTGCTGACCTTTCTTCGGTATCTGAAGAGCCCACGAGCTGCTGCTGCTGCTGCTGCTGCTGGTGTGCGTCGGTGTCTCTAAGGTACTGCAGCACGAGGGGATCTACTTGTGCTGCTGCTGCTTCTGTGTTTGCTGCTGCTTGGCAGGCCTTGTCTGCTGCTCCTTTTGCTGCTTTGTGCTGCAGCAGAAAGAGCTGCTGCGCCAGTGCATCTCTAGCAGCAACTTCTGCGTCCCTGGCTTGCTGCAGCTCTGCTGCTTCTTGCTGATGCTGCTGCTGCTGCCGCTGCAGCTCCTCCGCCTCTCGCTGCAGCGCAAATATTTGCTGCTGCTGCTGCTGCTGCTGCTCCAGGTGCTGCTGCTCGGCAGCAGCAAGCCTAGCCATCAACCGTTCCACACGTTCTTTGTGCCTGCAAAATCCCCAAACCCTAAACCCTGAACCCTAAACCCTAAACCCTAAACCCTAAACCCTAAACCCTGAAACATAGAGATAGAATTTCAGCCTTGCTGCAGCCTCCTGCGCGGTAAGCTGCAGTTACAGGCGGCCGTCACGGTCTAGGGTTTAAATTAGGGTTTAGGGTTTAGCGTCTAATTTAGGGTTTAGGGTTAAGGGTTTAGCGTACCTTTGAATGAGGGTTTCTCTCTCTTGTGCTGCACTTTCAGCAGCTTCTTTGAGTCTCTCTTGAAAGAGGGTTTCTGTTGATTTAAGTTTAGCAGCAAAAGAGTCCGCTGCTGCTTGCAGGGTTTGCTCTGCTGCTGCTGTTGCTGCTGCTGCTGCTGCTGCTGCGCCCCGCTGCTGCTCCAGCAGCAGCTTCTCGTAACCCCCCCTAATTTCACATATTGCTGCTTCATGCGAAGCCCGCTGCTGCTGCAGCTCGTTGGAGTGCTGCAGCTGCAGCAGCTGCATCTCCTAAGCGCAGCAGCAGCAGCAGCAGCAGCAGCAGTGCATGCGGGGTCTATAAAGCTGGACCGTTAGTTCTTGTACCCGAGAGACCCACCCTAAACCCTAAACCCTAAACCCTAAACCCTCAACACTAGTGCTTTGGTGTGAAGGCCAAG